ATGAACTCATTGCAAAAGTCAGAGAACGGATACAAAAAGATCATTGTTTTACTGTTAAGATGATGGCAGGGGAATCTGGTGGTAATAGAGAGACCATTCATAAAATTTTAGTGCAAGGTTTGGGCAAGAAAAAAAGTTACTTGCCGGTTTGTACACCATCCGTTGTTTGATGACCAAAAACTTCAGCGGGTTGAGTACCCACAAGACATCATCAAAACAACAATTTTTGGCCCAAAAACAAGTTTGTGTTCTCAGCCTTCCACCCCATTTCCCAGAATTGTCCTCCTGTGATTATTTTCTATTCCCAAAATTAAAGTTTTGATTGAAAGAACGCTTTTTAAACTATTTTGATGACATCCAAAGGGCCGTAACATCTACTTTAAGGGTCATAACAACAGAAGAACTACAGAGGTCGTTCCAGTGTTTGTTAGATCGTGCCACTTGCTGTATCAATGCACAAGGGGCTTACTTTGAATAAAATACAGTTTATATCTTCAACTGTTAATTATTTTAATTTTGATGGAATTAATCTCATTACTTAACTGTCAGACCTTTTATAATAGATAATATTTACAAAATTTAAAGGCAATCAAACAAGAGAAATGTAAGAATTCAAGTAAGAAGACTTATCAAGAACAGAACAAGCAAGTCATCTAGAGTGAGATAAAAAATGTTGGAAATCTATTGCAGCCACCTTTCACTGTTATTCACTTATAATATAGGGTGTTCCGAAGTCCCTCCACACTGACTGATTATTTGTAATGCGCTCCAAATTACAAAACTCTCACGAAGCAGTGTGCAGTTATTTAAAAACTTTGACTGTGAAGTAACTTATGGAACAGGCCAACAAAAAGAGAAAATAAAATATAAAACTGTAATAGCTGTAAGATGTTACCTTGTTCGCTGGTCATCTGCTGACATTCCTGAGTCTGACTGGAAGGACTCCTCTTCTGGGACTTCACCAGTTACTGCTGCTTTATCTTTCATCTCCTCCAGCTGCTTCTCCAATCTATCAACCTGATTCAGCAAATCATGTTCCCGCTGCATTAAACATGTGACTTCTGACTGAAGACTGACTTCACTGGTTTTAAGACTGTTCAAGTGTTGCTGTAGTTCTAATCTGCTATGCTGAACATCCTCTAGCTGAGTCTTATGCTCTGCTTCTAGTTGCTCACTATCTGCCTGTAGGCTTTGCAGTTGCTGCTGCAGAATCTGTATTTGCTTCTGAAGCTCTTGTTCACGCTGAAGATTGTAAGATTTCAGCTCTGCTTCCAATTTTTGCAAAGCTTCAGTCTTTTCATGCTCTATTAATTTAGCAATATCTTGTGGGCTGCTACCATTCTGAACTACAGCACTGAGTCTTTCCAGCTCTTCTTCATGCTGCTGCAGGGCAATAAGCTGAATCTGAAGATCACTGACTCTCTGCTGACTCTGGGCAAGAAGGTTACCAAGCTTGGCCTCAAGCTCCTCTCTTTCAGAAAGCTGCTCCTCATACTCAGACTGTATTTCCTCAACCATCTTCTGGGTTGCTTTCAGTTCATCTTTTGTGTCATGCAGTTCTTGAATAACAGAGGAATTCTCTAAGAGTCGATCATGTAGATCATTATTCTTCTCTTTCTCCTCCTTATACAGTTGCTTGTAATTTTCCACATTTTCAGCTAAAAATTCATTTTCTTCCATTAGTGTTTCCAGTTTTTGATGAAAATCCCTTTCATTATCACAAGAACTAAGCTTCACGTTTGCAGCATTCTCATTTTCTAACAGCGTTTCCATCAACTTGGCTTCTGAATCACGCAGCAGTTCACATTTTTCTTCTAAATATTTGAGCTTCTCAGTCTGATCTGTACAAGTAGCAGTCAATTTCTTGATCTCAATTTCAAGCTCATTTACGTAAGAAGATACACCACTGTTGTTAACAGCTTGCTCAGAAGTGAGAGTCAGATCTGACGTATCCGTTGATACTAACACAGAATAACTGGGTGAATCGTTAACAAAAGGGGTAGAACTGCTGCTTATGGAAGCATTCTGCATCAGAAGTAGAGAAGAATCTTTGCTAACTTTAGCAGATTCCTCAGAAGCACTGTTGGTAGAGGCACTTGAAGATGAACGCAATCTCTGTATTTCTGACTGCAGTTTCTGCTGAATTTCTTCTAATTCCACAATTTTGTCCATGTATCGACCTTCTGCATCTTGTAGCACTGCATTCTTTTGCTCTAAGTATTTCAATCTCTCTGATAAACTTTCATAAGAAATCTGTCCATCAACCTGATCACTAGCTTTGGTCACTGTCTTGTTTTTCAGATCTGCCAACTCAGCTAAAAGTTGCTGCTCTTTCTCTTCTAAGTCCAACACCCTGTCAATGAGACAGGCTTCTGTCTCTTCCACTAGAGATGTAGTCTTTTCCAAACCATGCAGTCGTTCAACTTCATCTTCCAAAGCCTCAATCTTGTCTTTGTATTCAGATTCATTTGTTTCTAAATCTACAATCTTCTTCATGAAAATTTCTTTCTCTTGTTCAAATCTGGCAATATCTGTACTTAAAATCTCAATCTTTTTCTCTAATTCATCCCTAGTGATGAGAGCATCCTCTAGGCACTTGTGAACTGTTTCTATATCCTGGTGATCTTCTTCCTCATCACCCCATTTGCTGATTCTAGACTGAGCATCATCACGCTCCTGCTTGACTACATTTACTTCATCTTTGAGTTCTTGATTCTCTGTCTCTAATGGTACAATGACCGTGGCTTCTATATCTGATATTTGCTCCAACAATTCTTTCTCTCTCCCTTCTAATTCACACATTCTCTCAGACATTTTGGCTTCTTTCTCTCTCATCTCTTTCAACAATCTTTCTAAACTTAGCAATTTCTCCTCACTTTCACTGTCCTTTCTTTTGTAATCTTCGATTTCTCCCATCAGTTTTTCAATGTCCACACCATTTTCACCACAATGGTCCTCATTACTTGAAAATGTGTTCCTGAGTTTAGTGGAATCATTATAATTAACCTGAGATGTGGGTTCTGCATGAAGCCCTGTATTCAATGAAACAAATATTTCAGATTCATCAACAATGTCAGTGTTTTCAGACCTGCTTCCTTGTTCTGTTAACTGTTGTAGTAAGTCAGTTTTGTCTTTTTCTAATTCAGAAACTTCAGACTTCAGACAATCAATTTCACATAGGAGATTTTTCAAGTCTGCTCTTTCTGTCTCCATTTTAACAATACAGTTACACTTTTCAACAAGTTCAGCTCGAGTTTCTTTCAGTGCTCTTTCAGTTTCTTCATTGCTCTTTAACAGTTCACTTACATGACTTTCAAATGTGGTTTGCTGTTTATCGAAATCACTTCTTATGTTTTTCAATTGCCCAGCTGCATTACTGAGCTCTTCTTGCAGTGCTGTGTTAATAGCTTCAAGCTCTCTATTCTTATCTTTCAGATGCTCAATCTGACTGACAAAATCACCTTTCTCTAAAGTGATATTGATAACATTCTGTTCCAATAGCTGTATTTTCTTATCACTGTCATTCAATTTAGCCTCTGCCTGATATAATTTCCCTGAAATATTTTGGTTTGTTTCTATGAGTTCTGATAAGAATGATTCATCAGTCTGCACTTTACCAGTAACAGTGTTAAGTTCTGCCTTTAGTGAGGCATTTTCTTGTTGAAAATTTGAAACAGATGATCTCAATTCTGCTTCTGAAGTTTTCAACGCTTCAATGGTATGCAATTTAAAATTCACTTCTGCTTGCAGCGTCTGACATAAGCTTTCTAGCTGGGAACACTTTGCCTCATTTTGTAAAACTACTGAGTCCATATTTTTATGAAGGATTTCCATATCAGCCAATGTGCTTGTCAGTTTCTGTTCACATTGAACAAGATTAGCAGACACATTTTCATATGAAGCGACAGCTTGTTTCAGTTCTAGCTGTAAGAATTTAGTTTGCTCTTTGGCAGCTTCTAGTTCTGACATATGATTTTTATAAAGTGTCTCCATGTCTGCTTGTTCCTGATGCAATCTTTCGTTCTCAAGCACAAGGTGTTTATTTTCTTCCACTATCTGTTTAAGTTTCTCACCTAGGGAAGTCACTTGGTCTTTATACAGTTTAGCTTCCTCCTGACTGGAATTCAAACATTTTTGGGAGTTTTCCAACTGTGACAAGAGATTTCTGCATGAAGCATCACTCTCTGATAATTTGTTCTCAACACTGGTTAGTTTGGTTCTGGTCTCTTCTAATGCTAAAGATATTTCCTGCAGTTTTTCCTCATTTTTGTTACTTACAATTTGTGAGTTGTCAGTCATTTGCTGATAATAATTTAACTGAGATCTGAGATTTATGCATTCATTCTCAACATCTGAATACTTCTGCTTCAAGGAGCTAAAGTCACTTTCGGAGTCTCTGCAAAATGACTCCTTTTCCCTAAGAGTATTTTCCAGAGTTGAAATCTTTGAACTTAATTCAGTAATACTTTGATCTGTTTCTGAAAGCAGTTTTTCTGCTGAACATAACTTGTCCTTAAAAGTGCCACAATTTTCTTGAGCCAATTTAAGATTCTCTTCAGTCTTGAGCAGTTGATCCTTGAGGTCAGTGTTAATCTTTTCTGACAGTGTTAGTTGATTCTGAGTCTCTCCCAACACCTCTTCAGAATGTGAAAGTTTTTGTTTAAGAGCTTTGACCTCATCCTCAGAATCTGTAAGCTGTGTCAGAAACTGTCCATGTAAGGCAGATGATTCAGATTTCAGTTTCTCATGCTGTAACTGAAGAGAGGAAAACCGACCAAAAATTTCCCCAAGCACTTTCTCTTTCTCAGCCATAACAGCTTTCAACTCGTCATGCTCTTTCACTACTTTTTCCCATTCAGATTCCAACTGCTTGAATTCTTTTTGTTTTATTAAAAATATTTTTTCTGTTTCTTGAACTTGTAAGGAAGTTGCCTCAGAGTCTTTACTGAAGGAAGTAAGCTTTACCTCTAGCTGTTGACATTCTTCTTCTTTCATTCGGATCACTTTTTCTGCATGCTGTGTTTGTGCAAAACTTTCCTGAAGCTGCATTCTAAGCTAGCACACTTTGCTTCCAGCTGTCTGTACCTGTTCTCAGCATCTAAAAGTCTGAGTTCTGCATTGGTCACTTTGGATTCCAATTGCTTGTACTCTGAATTCTGCTTTTTGTACTGTACATTCAGCTCTTCCAGACTTACAGACATTTGTCTACACATCTGATCTTGCTGTGTGAATTCATTCTCTTTCAGCTGAACTGTATTCTTGTATTCCTCAATATCTTGCAAACATTTCTGAAGTTCTGTCTTGGCTTGTTCAAGTTCTTGCTGCTTCGAAGAGATCAGAGTCTCACTGTCTTTTTGTTCATAGCATCGCTTTTCAATCTCCTGACGCTGTTCTGCAATTTGTTTTTCTAGGAGTTCAACTTCTGAAGATTTTTTATCTCTTTCTTCTTGCAATTTGTGTATCTCCTCTTGGTAGCCTACAGCTTCTGAAGTCTTCAAAACAAGTTTCTGGGACAAAGTTTCCACTTTGTCTTTCAAGATTTGAATCTGAGAGTGCAAAGACTGAATCTGAGCATCCATTTCATTTCTCCCTGAAATCTGTTTTTCTAACAAAACATTCTTTTCCTCCAACTCTTTTGCCAGTCTCACAAGTTCTTCTTTATTTTGACTTTCACGTTCACTCTTCTGCACTAAAAATTCACTTTTTTGCATATGTTCCTGAAACAGGGTTTGCTTTTCTTCCATTAGTAATTCAATCTGTTCTTGTTTCTCTTTCTGAAACTTTTCTTGATCCATGTGAAAGTTTTCAATTAAAGTGTCTTTCTGAGACATTTCCAGCTGTAACTGTTGAATTGTTTTCAATGCAATGTCAAGTTCCTGTCTTAGTTTCTCTGCTGATTTGTCCTGCTCAGCTTTCTGAATTTGAAATGTGTAGTCAGCTTGTTTTGACATGTCTTGGATGTTGTTTAATTCAAGAGCAAGTTTACAATTTTCATTATTTATGTTTTCCAGTTCTGAGATTTTTTCTAACAATTGTCGTCTGAGCTGTTCTGTTTCCTTTTTCAGTTCTTCTATTTCAGAAGATAACATCTCTTCTCGAATTAAAGCTTGCTCTAAAGAAGACTGAATAGATTCCCTTGAGGCTGTTTCATGTAACAATTGAGTATTTAAAAATGACAGTCTTGTTTTCAGATCATTTTCAACTGCTGTTTGATCTGTTGTTAAAGATGAGAGTTCATTTTCTTTCAACTGACACCTCTGCTTGAGTTCCTCAATCACTTTATTTTTTTCTGAAATTTCTTCTTTCAGGGCAGTACATTCAGTTTCCCAAAAATGCATTTGTTCCTTGTAGCCACTTTCCTTGTCAATTAGACAATTCTGCAGTTCTTGAATGCTTTCATTCTTTTCCACCAACATTTTCCCAAAGTCTGCAATTTTCTCCATTGTCTCACTGTCATTAAATGCTGCCTTTGATTTGAGTTCATCACACTCTGCCTCAAGTTGACTTATATACTGTTGTTTCATTTGCAACTCTTTCTCCAATTCTCTTACTTTCTCATCTTTCAGTCTCAACTCTTCCTGCAATGAAAGCTTTTGTTTTTCATACTCACTCTCCTTCTCCACAAAACTCAACTCAATGTTTTTCATTTTCTCACCAATATCACTTTTCACATTTATAATCTTATCCTCGATGATTTTCACATTTTTCTTCTCTCTTGCCAACTCTTTCTCTAAAGAGATCACTTTGTTTTCTGCTTCTTCACTTTTCTTTTTCTCTGCTTCAAGATTTGCTTGCAAATGTCTGATTTTCTCCTCATATTCCTGTTCAGAAATTTTGATAGATGCAACTTCCCATCTGAGAATGTCCAACTCCTTGCCATATTCACCATCTTTATCCTTCAGATCTGTGTTTCTGTCTGTTAATTCTTGTATCTGACGGAGACATTCATCCCTTTCATCAATCACAGCTTTCAAATCTTCACCTAAAGAAGCAATAGTAGCTTGCAGATCTTTCTCCTTCTGAGCAAACGATTTTTCTAATGCTGCACATTGCTGAGATTCTTCTGCATTTCTATTTGAAAGCTCCTTCTGTAAAACTGCCACTTCTTCCTGATGAGCAGCTTCTTTTTGACGTAGTTCCTCTTCTTTGTGACGTAACTTTGTGCTAAGTGATGAAATCTTTTTTCCGCTTTCCATCTCTTTTTCCATATATCGAACCTCCATCAGATTTGCCTTGCGCACCTGCCAAAAGAGGGAAAAGTTATGCCATTAAGTAGATGCAACATACCATTTAAGCAAACAAGGAAAAGGTTGAATGTATATAAAAGTATATAAATTTGAGTTATGCAGATGATATAGTTTTGAAAGCTGAAAATGCAACTGATTTCAACAACTGCTGGATATTGTGGTGGAGAGTGCTAAGAAAGGACTTTCATTTAATATTAAGAAAACAGAAGTAATGGTTATATCAAAGAAGTATATCAAAGAAGAAGATAACTCCACATTGTGATATCTCAATTGAAGGAAAAAGACTTAACCAAGTCAATAAATTCAAACATCTGGGAACAGTCATATCATTAGATGGAAAATGTGTGACAGAGATTAAAAGCAGAATAGGTCAAGCAAAAGCTGCATTAAAATGAAAAATATCTTATGCAATAAATCGCTCTCATTTAATGTCAGAAAGACAGTGCTAAAATGTTACTTAGAACCTGTTCTGCTGTATGGCAGTGAATCTTGGAATGTCAGTGAACAAATGAACAAGAATTTGGAAGCAACAGAGATGTGGTTTCTGAGACGAATTTTATGAATACCTTGGACAGTCAGAGTAATTAAGAACGATTACTTGAAAGAGGCTAATGAAAGTAGATCTCTATATGTAACAATAAGAAAGAGACACACTGTTCTTTGGCCACGTAATGAGAAGAGAGACGCTGGAGTACATCACGACAACTGGAAAGATCAGTGGAAAAAGGGGTAGTGGCAGACCAAGAGAGATGATGATGGATGGGCTGAAAAAAATGGCATGAAGGAATATCATCAAGAGAGCTGTTCCAGGCAACCAGGGATCGTGATCTGTGGAGATGTGAGAGCGCCTATGCCAGTTAGCAGGGCACATGAGGATGATGATGATGATATAAAAGAACAGTGCTAATTTGAAAAGCAAACAGTTCATTGCAAAAAGCATTGCAGCAAATAAGAATGTTTACTGCCCTCTGATTTATTTCGCATTATACACAGAGCATATAATATCATCATCATCATTTAGGGTCCTTTGCAGAACGTCGCTCTCATCCCAGTCTGCCTGAAAAAAACTGGGTCTCTCGCCAGTTCTCCCGCCTTATGGACTTTCACACTCAAGGAGTCACTTAAATCCTGTGCCCATCTTCGTGTCGGTCGGCCCCTGCCCCTCCTTCCTGGTACCATGCCTTCTGCTATAATTTTTTTCCAATCCGTCGTGGCGCTTGATATGACCAAAATATTTTAGCTTTCTAAAAAGGATGCTTTTATTAGCCAATCTTCCTTGATGTTCAGATCTTTTAAGATGTAAATATTTCTCATCTTCTTTGTCCAAGATATTCTGAGAATCTTTTTATAGCATTTCAGCTCAAAAGCCCCTATTCTCTTTCTTAAGGCCTGAAAGATAGTCCACGACTTACATCCGTATGTAGCCACAGGGAAGATGCATGCTCTCATTGTTGTTTATTATAGTAAAAGTAAAAGTAAAGGACCCTTTTCCACGCCTTTAGGCGTATAGGGCATATAGGGCTAGACCTATATTTTTATAGACCAATCAGCACAAGATGGGTGATGTGGTCAGCATCACGCCGGCTGCCTTTACTTCCCGGGACTGCACCCGGTACCCACTCAAGGCTGGGTTGACCTGGGAGCCAAGGTCATTTTTTTAAATAGTCCGGCTCCGCCAGGGAGCAAACCCACGAGCTTCCGTTTAATATAGAGCCTAGATATTCAAAGTTTGTGACATTTTCAATTTATTTATCATTTATTGTTATTTTTGGGTGACAGCCAGTTTTATCCGTGGACATTAGAGCATTTAATAAGATCTACATAAAATATATTAAGAATTGCAGCTGGCGGTCATAAATGACACAATGACTTTAGACAGTGAAAAGATGGCCTCAGTAAGCAGATAGAAACAATTATATTACTCTGGAGCAAGTTCACAAATTGTATAGTCTTTATCTATATGGATATCTATGAATAGATGAATCACAGAAATAAAAACAGAACAGGTTAGCAAACTGTATTTTATCAAATAAAATTTAAAAAAAAACTGTGTAATATGCCCCTATCTACACACAAAAAGGAAAATAAATGGCTTGCATGGTACACAGAATCACATTAATTTTATGGCTATGAATCATGAATAACTAGTAAACTGCCTTTTCAATCCTTAAGCTACAGATGCTGACTGTTTCCAAATATACCATCCTGTAACATATGCTACAATCCTCTTTACAAACTGTTATTTGTTAATAAAACACATGCCTCTGCATGCTGGGCAAACTCATGTTTTCTGTCTCCATTCATTCATTCAGTAGCATGTCCCTCGCGGAACCTCGCTGCCCATAACAACCCTCCGGAAAACCTTCCTATCCTGAGCAAGATGTCCTGCGTCTGATACACCCATCTGGAGATCATCTGCCACATCCTGCACCCATCTTCTCCTTGGCCTTCCTCTTCCTCTCTTCCCAGGCATATACCCCTCCATTATTGTTCTCTCTAGACTTACATGACGTTTCAAGTGACCAAAATATTTCAATTTTCTTTGTTTTATTGTCTTTACTAGCAACCCTAATATTCAGCTCTTGAAGTATGGATGCATTTGTTCTTTTCTTTACCCAAGATATTCTTAGAACCTGTCTGTAACATTTATATTCAAATGCATTTAAGTAAGTGTCCAGGTCTCACAGGCGTATGTTGCAATGGGAAAGATGCATGCTCTTAAAAATCTGACCTTTGTAATTCTGTCTCCATTAGCAGATATAAAATGGGATGAATACTTTAATCCCAGCTGCAGATTTATAAGGCCCATAAATATTTGTTCCTACCTAAATTCACATTTGATAACTAAATCTTGCAGAGGTATTATGAAATAAGTAAACTTATAGCAAATTAAGTAAAGGGCCTTTTTTTATAACACCACTGGCACATCAGGCATATGATGCTAGCCCATAATTTTAAAGACCAGTCAGTACTTGGTGCCTAATGTGGTCAACATCACGCCGACCACCTTTACATCCCACAACACTGCCCGGTACTCATTTTCTTCTGAGCTGAATTTTCTAAATGTGGATTTGAACCTTACACTTTCTGGCGGGCAGGAGAGTGCCTAGCCACTAGAGTACTTCCTAGTGGATTTATTTTTATATCAATAACTGTGTTATCCTTTAAGAGTAAGTCATGTTCTGATATTTATATGTCATCTTCCCCATATCTGGAATGTTGCTGCTTCTTGCTTCTATTTGATTAGAACAGCTCTTTCATAAGTCCCTTATTACAGGCTCAACTGTTTTAGAAGATACTACAAGACTACATACAATGACAAAGTTACCTTATCCTCTTTTTCCAGTGTAGCTGATTTGACTGCATTCAATTCTTCTTTTGTCTTTTTGTTTTCATCCATCAGGGAAGATATCTTCACATACAGGCCATTTTCCTTCTCTGCTTGCTTAGCAACTTTCTCTGACAGTTCTTTCTCTTGTTTCTCTAGCTCTCTGATTCTTGCTGCATCTTTCAGCTCCTTTTGCTTAAAGCCTTTCATTTCAACCTGCAGGAGAAAGCATATATAAAAATATATATATATATATATAATATATATATATATATATATATATATATATATATATATATATATATATATATATATAAACACATTCAAAATATCATAATGCCAACACTGACGATGTTTTATACAGGGGTCTTAATTTAATCTCCGTCTACATATAAATGATTATGTTTAAATGAAAGATATATGAAAAACTCAAAAAGATTCCCTACAGCTTAATACTGTGCAGTATGAAGAAATATATTTTTTAAAATTCCTAATGCAAAAAAGCATCTGCTCACAGTGTACCATTATACTGGGGCATGTTGCCATCACTATAATGGCTGTGTGAAGCGACCTCTTTAGGAATCTCATGTGGTGAGGCCACAATCTATTCAATAGTTGCTCTAGTAAATTAAGTCTGAATTAAACACAACTGAATTGTATTTTATTGTTAGTGTTATCCTCATGGCACTCTGGGCACATCCATTCCCTGTTCAAAGTAAACATTATCATTCCAAGGCTAATAAATATAGTTCAACTTATTATTCAGTACACTTATCTTTCAAACTGACAGTCATCTTCCTCTTCTTCTTCAGCATTCCAAGCCCTTGAGGTTCATTGCTGCAGATATCACTCACCTCGATTCATCTCTCTGGTTGGCCTTCTCTTTCCAGCTGGTGACACCAAGTGTTTGCAGGTCTGTCTGGACATTATCTCTCCATCGTCTTCTTCGTCTGCCTCGAGGTCTACGACCATTCATCTCCCTTGTGTATACAGTTTTTTACTTCTGTCATCTCACATTCTTTCAATATGTCCCAACCATTTCAGTCTATTAGTTGATGATGCCAGTGATCAGTGGTGATTTAAACAGATTATGAATTTTGTTTTTGCTTCTCACTCTCCATTCACCGCTGTTTGTATCTTTGATTGGTCAAAAGATTCGTCGTAAGACTGTTTTTGAAAACCTGTAATAAGGTTTCATGTCTTTTAGTTATGCTATAAGTTTCAGAGCCATATAAAACGACTGGTCTATCAACTTTTTATATATTTTCATCTTAGTGTTGCGAGACAGACTATTTTCAGATTGTATTCTAGATTGTATTTCTTCTCTCAGCATGTTGCAGCAGTTGAAGTTTGCACCCAAGTACTTATATGTTTAGTTCGTTTGATTTTCATATTATCGAGTTGTGTGTGGCCGAAGTTTATATCCTTTCCCTGTCTAGTTATTATCAGGTATTCTGTCTTATCTTGATTTCTGAGCTGATTCTGATAGTCATAGTCATCAAAAGTTTTCTCTAAAGGAGGTTAAAAAAGTATATGTACAACATGGTTCCACTATGAGCACATAGCGCAGCGGCAAGACACTCATCTGCAGATCCAAGGATTGTGGGTTCAGGTTCCTGATGGAGCCGGGATCTTTAACAACATAACCTTGGCACCCAGGTGGATCCATCCTTAAATGAGTACCAGGTCAAATCCTGGAAAGTCAAGGTGGCTGGCAAATACTTACCACATCACCCACGAATTGCCCATTAGTCTATAAAAATATAGGTCTAGCCCTATATTCCCAATAAGCCTGAAGGTGTAGGAAAGGGTCCTTTACTTTGATAGTGATTATCCTTCAACTGAAATATTCTTTGAGTTGACAACTGCCATGTTTTTTTAACAATCCAAAGATTCGATAAAACAGATGTCATCTCCACAGTGATGGTTGGCTGCAAGAGATCTCCAACACAATCTGTCTCTTGTCCTGGTTATACACCATCTCACACTGCTTCCCATCCATCTCTTGATGTTGTCCTCCCACTTGTATCATTGCCTACCTCTTGCTCTCTTGCCTTCAACATTTCCCTTTAGTATGGTTTTTTAAAAATGTGTTAAGTCTTTTAAAGTGGCCAAAGCATTTCAAATGCCTCTTTTTTTTTATATATTTCAGTAATTCTCTTTGTGTAGCCTTTCCAGAACCTCTGTATTGGACTGCTTTTGTTTCCATGAAATACAACCTATTCTTCTGTATACCCACATCTCCAGATACTCAATTCCATTCTCTAGTGGCTTGTTCATTGCCCACATTTTTGCACCATATAGCAGGACTGAGCATACATAACATTTGACAATTCTCATTTTTAGTGAGTTGTTTATCTCTCTAGTTGTCAGTAACTTGCGCATCTTATTGAAGACAGTTTTAGCAATTCCTATTCTCTTTTTGATTTCTGTTTCTCTTCTTCCATCATCTGCTACCAAGTGTCCTAGATAGGAAAAACTTGTTACTTGTTTTAATAGCTCTCTGTTTACTGTGATGTTCATTGTTGGCTGCTCTTTTCCATTGTTAATTACCAGTTTTTGTCTACACCATACTCTGCACTCCATCTGTTGACAATCAACTAGTCCCTGCTACCTTTCTGCTAGTAGCACTGTGTCATCTGTGTATCTCAGACTGTTTATTGTTCTTCTATTAATATGCAGTCACACAATTCCTCAACCTGTTTAAAAAAAGATTGCTGTTATTTAAATACAACAAAGTAGTTAAAAAGTCTATACAGTTTTGACAAATTGTCTTGCCTCTAAGGTTACAATCTTCCCGCGTAAGGTTCTCTCCATTTCTTGCATTTTTTCCTGCAAGGTCATCCCCTGATTCTCCATGCTCTCTATCTGGTCCAGCAGAGATTCCTGACAGATGACAAAATTGTGAATAAATGCTACAAAAACAAACTAAATAGCTATGTCTAAAAAACTGAAAAATATACAGTTTACAATTTGTATTCTGATTGTTCATCCACTTCTGGACTTTAAGTCTTGTTTCAGATCATGGGTTTTTGAGTCCAAATCCATTTTACAGATCTGGCTTACTTGCAGCCAGGCAAATGGTTACTCACTTTTCAGGCAGATGCCCTTTGACTTAAAGGAAACATCCCTAATTAGCTGACTCAGGGCCCCAGAATGAACACAGGGAGTAGAAGGTATTATACTGTGTCTAGATTTCTCTGTGTATTTAAATGTCATGTCTCACTTATTGAAGCTGGCAATTTCTCTCATAGAATGTGTCTGTCAAAATTGCAGATTAGAGCCATATCCTTAGACACTCAAAACTGCAGGTGAAACCACTAAACCAGGCTGGTTGCGGCCAAACACATGATATATAACTTCTTTTGAGGCTGAACAGGGTATCTAGATTTGCTCTGTAGGTTTGCATTTCAGGATCAGATTCTTTAGAAATCTCATGTGTCATCAAATCTTTAAGTGAGATGTGAGAATTAATTCAGTTAACAAACAATTCAGGACAACTTACTTGAGATGTTCTTAATTCCTCAATTCTGCTCTGGTATTTCAGCATCTTCTCTACAGTGATCTCTGAGCTTTCATACAATGCAAGTTTTGCCCTCAGTTCTCTCTCTATCATCTCTAGTTCTGCTATAGTTTCACTGAGCTTAATCTCATTCTCCTGTAAAGACATAAATACTGTTTACCCAAGAAGTCTGCCAGTTTTCAAGAATGCTAACCTTAGTTTATGTTACAATGTATAATATATCTCAATTGTAAATGAAACCTTAAACAGGTCTGAACTCTCAGTAAGGTGATGGATTTTCTTCTGTCAGGAGCAAAAATAAAATCCTAACCTGCACAACCTATGGTGACTGCACTAGCCATGAAGTCTTGCATCCTCAAAACCCATCCTACACTGCACTAAAAAGCAATAAATACTGGAAGTAATGACAGCTTTTTCCCCCAGTAAATTACTTTGCAAGACATATAAAGTAGTTTGCTGGTTTGGTTTGATTTGAAAAGTATTTTGTGTCTCATAGTTTCATAGCTTACTGAAGGATTTGTGTCCCACAGTTTCACAGCTCTGGGTCTTACAGACTACTGAAGGATTTGAGTCTCACAGCTTACTGAAGGCCTCCACAGTTTCACAGCTCTGGGTCTTACAGACTACTAAGAGTCAGAGCTCTGAATGAACAGTATTTTTGGGTTTACTACTTAAGGATTTGAGTTCATAGCTTACTGAAGGATTTCACAGTCTGGGTCTTACCTACTAAAGTTTCAGAGCTCTGAAGGCCTCCACAGTATCACAACTTTGGGTTTACAGACTACTTAAGGATTTGAGTCTCACAGCTTACTGAAGGCCTCACAGTTACTCTGGAAGGAATTTGAGTCCAGCTCACCTCCAGCTCTTCTGAAACTGAAGGATTTAAGTCTCAGAGCTTACTGAAAGCCTCACAGCTTGTTGAAGTTGGAGAGTCTTAAAAGCTTACTGACATTACCTCATTTTAGATAAAGCATCTCATCATTCATTCAGAGGTCAGTAACTGATAAGCTGCTTGTACCTATTTCTCTCAGAAGATGCTGGCCTAATTGATTCAATCCTGGTTTGTGAAATTACTCCCTTTGTTTCACAGTGATGTTACTAGTGTAGCTTCTCTGGACACAAATGTTTATTACTATAAATTACCAACTGTGAAAGAAAGAGTTTGGGGTAACAAATGTCTGTGACAGAAAAAAATCAAAAGAAATTCATCAGGGACATTTTTTTTTTCTGGTCCATTGCTGGAAAAGGAGGGAGGGGGGAAGGTAGGAGTTTAACATTCCCAGGTTGCTTTTATTTATTATGTACAAATAACTATTTACAATAGGACCTTAAACAAAATATTTCTTAATTTAAAGGTACATTTCTCAAACAATCAGGTGCTGCCTCCACATTAAAGGTTAATACTTTCTCTGAAAATGTTATTCATCCAACTCAAGATGCTGTCTCCTACTTGCATCACTCACGCTGCTTCTCGCTCTCTTGCCTTTGACTTTTCCCTCCAGTATGAATTTTAAAAAAGTGCTACATCTTTTTTTTTTCAATGTGGCTGAAATACTTCACCTGTCTTTTTTTTTATTGATTTCCGTAATTCTGTTTTCACATTTATTTCCCAGCCGCTTCATACTCAAAAGCAATTGTTGAACATCTTAGTATTGGTCACACTATCACTACATTATCATAAAAAAAATCATGTAACCTTAGTACTTGAAATTCAAATAAAAGCACAAATAATGTACCCCTTGTTCAACATAATTACAAAATTTAATTTATCCTCACCTTCAGGCTAACAATTTTTTCCTGCAGAGACTCAATTTTTGTGTTCTTCTCTTCAGCCACATCACTCAACTGCCTTTCAAGCAGTTTTAATTTATCCCTCAAGGTTTTCTTCTCGGTATCTGCTTGTGATGCTTCTGTACTGTCTGAGTCATCTCCATCCTGGCCATCAACACTATTCCCATCATCATTGAAATAATCATCATCATCAAATGTCTGAGCTCGACGAGGAGCTCTAGAGTGTGACTGGGCCAGCTCTGCAGCCAACGAGTGCTCGGATGGTAAGGTGTTGATAACAAAGTACTCTTGTGCATCTGCCAGCTTGGACTTCAGATCCCTGTTCACTGATTCCAACATTTTCACCTAGAGAGGATATGTTAAATATTATGTTTCTATTAAACAGCACTGAGAGCAGAAATTAAATAAATAAATGTTTACTTATTTTGAAGTGCAACACGGACAGTTAGCAGATTAGTTAAAGATTAGGTGCAAGCTGCATAGTAAAATGATGAAAACATCATGGACAGATAAAGAGTAATGAAGATGAAGTGCATCACGGACAGTTAGCAGATTAGTTAAAGATTAGGTGCAAGCTGCATAGTCAAATGATGAAAACATCATGGACAGATAAAGAGTAATGAAGATGCCTTGAAAGAAATACATTCACAAAGAGAACAGATTTCCCACATCAGAAGGAGACAATCTACATTCCTTGGTCACATCACAAGAAGAAGAAAACTGGAGTATGCCACGACAGTAGGAAAGTTACTAAAGAAATGAAGCAGAGGGAGACTAAGAGAGAAGATGCTGGCAGCCTAACATCACAGCATAAATGATCATCTGTCAATGGTTAAAAAATTACTGAAAGTAATCTTCTTCTTCGCGATCACCTGCTGTAAACTCTGGCGAAAGATCTGGTTGTTCGTCAACTTCTGGACTGCAGTCCTGTTTCAGAACCTGAGTGTTGTGTGTGCATCCATTTGACAGATCTGACTGATGTATGTGCAGACTGTTTCGTTCCTTGCCTCTCAGGCAGATGCATGCCAACTTTCCCAATTAGTAGACCCTCAGACATGCTTTTGAGTAGGCAGTGGGTCTATTCTTGTTTTCCCTATAATAGGACCCCCGAACCCCCACGGGGAACTAAAAGTAAGGAAACAGAAGGCTGTGGGATAGACATGACTAAAAATGCCATATAACATGGTTTTGAAGGAAATGTGTACAAAAACATCTACAGTCTATGCAGTAACAACAATACATAGGTATATGTGTCAGGTGCTAGCTTGTGCAAAATCACAAACAATATTTATATAAATGGACGTGTTAATAGAATAATTAACATTTATCTACAAGATTGGAGAATGAAATAACAATAAAAAGGTATTTTAAAATGTTTTTCTTTGCCATCCAAAATAAAAACACTTATTAATATCTGGGAAAAGTGGGAGGAGTGGGGAGGGGGAGCCTTAATACGAATTGAATAGCTTGTTCTGTATTATATACTTAGGACTTTTCCAGAGAAAAAATAAGAGACTGATTCCTGAAGTGCTGTGGTAGACTAGAATGATACACAATACAAAACAAACATGGCACACTTATACTTCTCTCTGGTAACAGCAATTACCTTTTCTTCAAGACACTGTGTTCTGTTAAAATCCTCATCAGCAACTCTTCTCCAATTTTCTCTCAATATTTCCTCATTTTCCTCCAGTTCTGCAACCCGGGCTGATAATGCTTTGTTGTCTGTTTCCAGAAAAGTGAGCTGGTGTCTCAGCTCTTGAATTTTATGCAGTTCTCGTTGACAGCTAGTTGTGGAGTCTGTCTTGAGCTCTAGCTGTTCTCTGAGTTCTTTTTCAATGGCCTCCAATTCATCAATTCTCTTTGAAGAAGCTGCTTCAGCTTTCTGAAGAAAGTCAACCTGATTCAAAGACACAATCATGTGTTGAAACATGGACAGTGTCAGGTGCTTTACAATGACACTATAAGATAGCTTACAACAACTACAATGTCTACAATTGTAAATATGCTGTCTGATTCACAAGTAATAACTTAACACAAATTCTTAATATCTCAACAAATTAACTGTTCATGTTTATTTTGTTTTAATATACTCTCCAACAATGTTCTGGGACAGATCAAAGTCCCTTCAGAGTCAAATATACTCTATTATAAAAATTTAAGTGGATATTGTAAATCTCTCATAATTTGAAAAGCCACAAGTCAATAACAACTAATATAATACTTTACATATTAATTTCATACTACTGCAATATTACATATTTAATGTAGTTTCAATAACGTTAATTGTATTTAAAAAATCAAATCTTCTACTTATTTTATCTTTTTTACATCGTTTTCACAAATCTGTTAACAGTTATCGGAAAAAAAAAAAAAAAAAAGACCACATAAATGTTAAAAAATTCAATCAAACATCATTAGGGTTAAGCAACAATTAAATTGATAAACAAAATAAATGTTAACAGGCTGTGCTAGATTAATCCATGTCAAGGGATTTATACTGAACTATAATGTAACTATAAATCAAACAAGTAGTTTAAAATGGGATCTCAGAACAAGGCAATGAAATCTACACAGTAAGAAAATCTTTAAAAAAAAATATCAATAATGTAAATTAAACAACATTAGTTAAATCAAGAAAGAGGGATGCCAGTTTCGGAGGTAATAAAAAAAACAACTTCAAAATTCCAAATTAATATACACGATTATGGAAATGTACATTGAATTCACCTAAGTAATGTTGTTCTTTGTTCAAGTTTGTCAAAGAGGACCATAAGGTTATCTGTCAGACCTAACTCGCACTCAGCGCTGGCTACTGAGACCACTCTAAGCCCTGCACCACCCGTAACATTAAGTATACTCGATTGTCAACTGTTCAGAGTAAGAAAACTTTTTTGTTGTTGTTGTTGATACGGCACACCGTATCTTTTCACTGCTGAATAGTTTGTTGTATTAATGCCCTAAAGTTGCCATACAAATAGATTTCACTACAACTTCGACCAATCAGCAGCAATATTTTCCAAATTTTCAAAGTTATTGCCCCAATTCTTCTTTAAAGCTCCCAGAATTTTTCTAATAACTTGATTTGGTCCACCACGAGATCACGTTCCAGGGTCCAGTTCATAATGGAATACTGTTGGCAGCCATTCATTTCACAAGGAACCAAGTGAATCACTAAAATACACTGATGCATTTCATCTACTGAAGCCTTGGTCCACTGTTAGAGCCAAAATAAGAAGAAATTGACATGAGATGAGTTGACAAATGGTATCACAGCACATGTGGTTTCCCATACATGCCACATCCTTATTTTCAGCAGCCAAAGTGGCAATCTTCTCTTTTTATTCCCCCAGCTTCTCCTCTTCACTCTCTGTGAAAAGGTCATGTGCAACTTACTTAGATATGCTCAAAGACTACAGCATGCAGAGCAATGTGTCATCTCCTTGATCTTCCAACCATGGAAGTGAGAACTACAATCTGCCGCACATGTGAGTATCTGCAAGTCAATCCTAACACAGATCATCCACTGCACAGTGAGATTCGCAGGAAGTATTGTAGCAGATTAAAATGTGGGAAATATTTTATATGTCAGGCCGAAGACATCATTTATCGAGTTTGTTCACTTGAGGATATAGAACCTGGTGAGGAATTGGTATGAATGCCAGCAGAGTAGAAAACATCCTTTTGTGTCTGCATAAAAAAACTGGACAGAGATTGCAGACAACAAAACCCGTTGGTGGTGGAGGTGGAAGTTCAAGCCTTGATTTCCTGGGAACTGCAGTAATTTACACTGATGGATTCGTCATTCGACACGTGCAAGGCTCATGAACTTTCCGAGTTCTAGTTGGAGGTCGAACTGTAAAATATGACAAAAGTGCTTTTGCCTTGATAGTAACAAAAGCAATGACATGGCTAGAGACAATGATCTTTCCCTATGCGTGCTTTCTAACCGATTCCATGATCATGCTTAAGAAGATCAAGACATAATGAGTTCAGAGACAATGGTTAAGAGTCTCTGAGGAAATTTCATCTGAGAGGAGTATGTTTTATTTTTGTGCCAGGACACTCTGAGATAAGAGGAAATGATAAAGCAGACTGCCTTGCTGGCAGGGTACAGTAGGCATAGGAAAAGCAATGGATGGGAATGATCTTCTCAGAGAGCTATTGTTTTTTCCCAAAATGTGGGCCTCAGGAATCCCACATAGTTCTAATATCTAGTGTATAAGTAAACACTTCTCAGCTAACAAACGGATGAGGCCTTTCAGTCATGCATCAGACAGACATTAAATAACTACTATCAATATTATATTAACAAATAATGCAATGAAACAGTATAGGCAAAAGGCAATTTGCTAAACAGAACGTAATTTAAATTTTCAAAGTGAATCATGAAATTTATTTTATGAAATGGACGTGTCAATCAAATACTTAATTTGGTGGAAGTTAAAATTAAATTTGCATATATATATTCCACTATGGAGAAGAGAATTACAGACAGGCAGAAGATATGCAGGTCAGCTTCTACTATGATATAAAGATGTGTGCAAGCAGGACATGAATGATACATGCATTGAGGTAGATTACTGGACCAAAAAATACGCCAGAATGTGTTCCTTGGAAGGGAGACGTCAAGAAGGGAAAGGGGAAAAAGGAAACAAAATTATTTCTGATAGGTCTGAGAAGAAGCACACTAAATTTATGCTATGGCAACAACGGTCCATAAATCTCATGCTCTAATTGCAGAAGTCTTTTCTTAATGTGGGCGGATCTTGCTAGTCACACTCGCCATCGCCATGGGTTGTGATTCCCATGACTCCTCATGGCAAAATATAACACTATCATCTGGAAAGTTGCCAATAAAATGAGCATAAACATATGGCTGCATATTTAAATAAGATGTTCTACAATGCTAACAAACATAAACCGTTGGACTGTATGAACTGTTATCTCTCGTTCATTTACAGACATAACAGTGAAACAACAGCTGATGCAAATATTGCCATTTACTAATGCACACTTCATAAAAGCTTAATGGAAGCCCCACTTACCAATAAAAGACAAATATTTATTCAGTGGGGGTTATAAAATAAACTAGCCTTTCGAAAGAAGTTGAATGTGATTGACTGACTAGTATATGAATTCAGAACAAAACCTATCAATTTGTTACAAAGAGTATTGAGTACATTAATAATAATGCTCAATTATTAATTTTGTTGATTTAATTTAAATGTTAGAAATTCAAAAACTGAAATCCAGTGCAGAAGTAAACAAGTATAATGTGAAATTAGTTAAAATTGTTAAATTAGATGTTAGTGGCCACTTGTCATGACCGTAAACCTGTCTATTTCATGAAAATTTAATATTTCTTATTCCACCACGAGGATTTTGGTGCCATATGAAGAGACAGTGTAGAAGCACTTTTCAGTAAGTTACAAATGCTATTTCTTTCTATAGGTGCTTAAGATGAGAGAGCAATTTCCCTGCACAACGTTTTAGGCCACAAGGTTTAGTCTCTCTCTATCAAGCAACTAGTCACTTGATAAGAACGTTCTGCACAGCACGAATTTTGCCATTCCAGCGCCAACTCCTACAGATCTCCTCAACATCTACACTCATAAACCGAAGTCCAGAATTTGAAACCAAACCTTTGACCTTCACAAGATATGGAAATCAGCATAGCCACTTCACTCAATAAATGAAATATGAACATGAACATTGTTTAAACTGTATGAATAATTACTATTTGTTTTTTAATACTATCTCCAACAGAACTAATTAACTTTTCCATTATTTATTCATGCTTCAAAACCTATAGCAGAGAAGTATATCAGTTCGTTTGCTTGGCCTCTGCTCCGTTGCACATATTCCATATGATGTTACGGTTCCTTCCATCAATTTATCTACTTTTGTAATATATTTTGCTATTTTTTTTTCTTTGATACAACCACTGTTTCTGTTCTCTTAACATTCAAGTTTTTCTTTTCCATTACATACCACTACACCCAAAGACAATTATATAATAAGCTATCTTACAATGAAGGGTTGAAAAGAATGCTATGCATTATTGATTTACATATAAGCGCACATGAATATTACCATCTTGCCACCTTTAAATGAGCTTAAGAATGTATGCATAAATTTAAGCATAAAAGTGCTATGCACCAGAAAACCTCAAAAAAAATGTAAAGGTCCCTTCATCAAAAGAAACATCACTTGAAAATCACAAATCTACAATTTCCTTATAAGTGGATTTTGTTTAGAGTATTATATTGTTCCCTATCATCATCATCATGAGTCTTGTTGATAAATGTACACGGTCATGATTCTCTATCTCACAAAATCACCTGAATCATAGACCACACATTCTTCCTATACTTCATGTGAAACACATAGTAACTATTCCTACTGCCTGTTTCAATAGTGGGTACAAATTTTCATACTGCAACTTCTCTTCTGCTTTCTGCATGCAAGCCAATTCTATGATATAACACATGCAGCAAACTAAGGCATCAGTGACACATGTTTATAATGCTCATGCATGTGGAATGAGCATGTGCCCATGCATTCATGTTTCTTAATTCACATGCATGGCTGATGGATGCTAGTAATCAAGAGAGGCACAGAAGAAAAAAATTACTTTATGAAAACTTAAAAAGTATCTCGTAAAGTATGCTTTAAAACTGACAGTTCTATGAGCAAGCAAAGTTAATAACTCCCAATCAGATTTATTTCGGGTATTATAAACTTTATTTGTAGAGAGTTCTCAAGTTCCTAGAATTCCAACGTCTTTCCAAGTGATTTTTTTAAGCTGACATAAATGCGGTGCAAGGGAAAGAGAAGCATGCCCAAAATCAATACACAAATTTTCTGATCAGGACAGATGAGTTATGTTAGACAAAC